GGGGGAGGGATAACTTCCTCTTTGCCAGTCTGGGTCGGGCGGGGGTGGTGTGGGTTTCAGTTGAAAGAAGAGTGTTGTGAGTGTGTGTGAGTGTGTGTGTAAGCGTGTGTCTGTGTAAGTATGTGTGTGTGTGTGTGTTTGTGTCCGTGTGTATGTGTGGATATGTGTGTATATGTGTGTATGTATGTGTGTTTTTGTGTCCCTGTGTGTATGTGTGTGTATGTGTGTGTATGTGTGGGTATGTGTGTCCGTGTGTGTATGTGTGTGTCCGTGTGTGTATGTGTGTCCGTGTGTGTATGTGTGTGTCCGTGTGTGTATGTGTGTGTCCGTGTGTGTATGTGTGTGTCCGTGTGTGTATGTGTGTGTCCGTGTGTGTATGCGTGTGTATGTGTGTGTATGTGTATGACTCTGAATTCTTCCAGCATGTCACAGAATAGTTCTGTGGCTGCCTCAGCAAGGTCTTGGAAACAACAAACGTCCCTCGTCTCTGGCGCGCTATTTCTGACACCAAAGACAACGTCGCCTCTCCGTCACACAGAAAACTTCAAGGCACAAAAGATTTATTTACACTTTTTATATTTTATATTTTTTACTTTTGAAGTACCCCCCTACCCAAACCAGGCCATTCCCAAAGGGGGGGGGGGATAATAACATGTTCTTATTATGCACAGTAGAATTGTACATGGGCTGATTTACCAATGTCATGCTCATACTGTGCCGGAACAACATAGGGGGAACTGCAGCTTTTTCTTTCCTCTTCCTTACAACAGTCGTTTTTTCCTCTGCTTCTTTTGTATGTTTGTCCCTTTCTTGTGAACTTCTATTTCTGGGGTGCCTTGATAGTCGAAGCAGACTTTGTGCTGTTGAGGCTAGAGAGGTGAACAGAGTATGCCTGATTCCCCGTTTGGACATATGACCTTATGCAGTTGCGAGCGCCGTAAAACCTTACTAAAACAAAACCAACAATACTTTTGACGATCATGTATGTTCCTGCTGTAGAGGGAGAGAAAGTGAAAGAAGATGAAGACAGACTGAGAACAGCACACACAACTTCCTGATAAACAATACAATGAGGAGAACTGGGCTGATCAGCTCAAGGTTTGACAAGGTGAGGAACGGAGCATCGTATGAACGTCGGAATCTGCTCCACATCTGACTCCTGAACAAGAAGAAATGAAGGTGATATTTAGACCGATGGAGTGGAAATAATTCGTCGCCAGCTGTAAAGATGTACCACACCCTGCACTTTGGGTTTTGTTTCATGGATTCAGTGTTTTCATCTCTGGTATCGGTTGCATATGTGCTAGAAAAAATATTTTGTTAAAATTCAAATTCTTAATGTTGAAAAAATACAACAAGAATAAAATAAATAATGCAGATACAATTATTGTTAAAAGAATGAAAGGATTTTTCCCATCTCGCCTGTATAATTTTGCTTTCTGGACTTAGAACGATGAAGTAACTTGCCGATAATGATGTATTTCTCCCTTTTGCAGAGTTGTGGTAGTTGCCTTGCAACATGAGTAGCGAAGACATTTTGAAGAATGCGCCACAATACATGGGGCAGAAACACAGGCGGTCCTCGTGTCCGTCTGTCACTCTCATGGAGAAGCAGGTAGGTTTTGTTTGGTGGTTGTTTTTGTTTGATTGCTTATTTGTTTGTTTGTTTGTTTGTTGTTGTTGTTTTTCTTTTGTTTTTGTTGTTTTGTTTTGTTTCTTGTTGGTTTTGTTTGGGTTTTTTTGTTGGTTTTTTTGGGGGGGAGGGGGGGGGGCTCAAATTGTGAATACATTTTGAGCATCAGGTTCCAATTTCATTTGGACACAACACCAACTGCACTGTTTAGAGGGGGTAGAGAAGTAGCGCCCAGGACGCCACTGGGAACACCCTGGACATCCCTGTAACAGAAGGTGTTTTTTTTCAATGTAAATAGATGAAATGAACCAACCACACCTGGAAAATAGTCGGGTATACCCTCATACCGTCCATGATTCCACACGCATTGACTCTGCTGTTTTCACTGGAGCCTAAAGTAGTCAAGGTTGGAAGATAGATGAGTAGAACTTAGGCAATTAACTTCCTGAAATCATGTCTGCAGCCCAGGCAAAGCTGTATCATACATACTGCTAGAAGAACAGGAAACACTGTGGGCTATGATAGTGGTGATACTTGCTTTTGGTATGTTTGG